TTTCGGGCAGTCTCGGAGACAGCAGGCACAGCCCATCAGAATGCGGAGGCGCTGAAAGAGGCGGGACCAAGGACGGAAGAGGAAAGGAAGTTGTGCTCGGAATAACTTCCGGTGAGGGGCTGGCTCTCTCCGGTCCCGCCCTTCGCTGCTTTCGATTGGCTCAGAGAGGCAGCGTTGACAGCTCGGCGCCGGCTCTGATTGGCAGCGTGTGGCTCAGATCAGCCCGCGCTACCTGTAGGGGGCGCTGTGGGGCAGCCATCGGTACGCCCGCAGGTCCCGGCCCCGCAGTCACACATTTAACCGCAGGATTTTACAGCTCAAACCCTCACTAGCGATTTCTGTATGTCATAACGCTGAAAGCTGCAGACAATTTTCAAACAGCAGGTTTTGGATATATGAGCGAAGTCCCGGGCCATCGTGGCACTGTACCAAACCCTTGAATTTTTCTCTGGTTTACATGGAGCTGCTTTCCCCCAGGTCCAGGGTTTCAGCTGTGTGGATTTTTTTATTCTTCTGGATTTTGCTGGTGCTTCCTCTCCTGCTGTTGTTCCGACTCTCGTCAGCTGTATTAGAATTATAGCAGATGGCACCAAAGCCTCAAATTCCTCCAATGCAGTCACCAGCGAGACACACCTGAGGAAATAAAGAGATGTCTGGGGGAGTTGTAGCAAGTGTTTTAAAAGAAAGAAAAAGCATCACAGCACTGCAAAGGACTTGTTGTCTTACTCTATACCGTCGTTCCTGGTTTTTTACACCTTGGTTCCTATTGCAGCTGAAAATGCGCAGCCACTTTCTGCTGCATCCCTTTCTCTCCAGAGATATGCCCTATGACAAGAATATCTGTCCCAGGCACTTTTTTGACCACCTGGGAGTTCTGCCAAATGGGCCAGAATTCTTCCAGTTGCTTGCAGCCAGATTCCAGCTTGAAAAGTCGGGATCACCAGACAACCAGTCTCAGAAAGATTTCAAGCCACTTAACATTTCCTTCAGAGTCATACAGGGAAGAGGGTCTTAACAGATAAAAAACAGATTGGTATTCCTCTGTCAGGATGCTTCACATTTAATATAAACATACAAACTACCTTCAAAGTATGGACCTGGGAATTAGAATACATAGAGTACTAAAATTGGGAATTCAATAGTTGGAGTAATTTTATAGCCCACTAGAATCTACCTCACAAGTCAATTCCACCGAACACCTCCCCATCCCATGGCAGATTTTTTCTCCCTGTATCACCTTTCTCCTTGATAACAATCCCACAGTTCCACAGGTTCCAGCAACACTTTCTCTCCAATTCTCAAACTGAAGCAAACATCTGGTCTGCTGTTCCCAGCTCCAGGTAGTTTAACAGAAGACATTACCTCTCCTTACAAACCTTAACTTGCTTCTAGCCTTAATTCAGCTTGACTACAATGCTAAACTACAAGTTTTGGATACCAGGATGTGCAGAATTTCTTCAAAATGAAGCAATGTTAGGAAAAGCAAGTGTTTCAAGATGCAGGTAGGGAAAAAACCTCAAACTTCTCTTAATTCATTTCCACACGCCACACTGTCTTAATTGAGTACTTTTATTGGGATAGAAACAAACAAACAAAAAAATCAAAATACATTAACATCTATCCTGAGACAATTCTGGTTCTAAAGTTGTATACAATTGAACAGCATGCTGTTTAACTCTGATTTTTCAAATTCCTACGCCACACAGTGAAGTCCACAAAGAACTGAAAATTATATGACACAGGCAACCTTAACAAAATTAACAGCACGTTCTGTGGGGGATTAATAATATCTCCTTCAGTTTACCATTCCATTTCTAATCCTCATTATTACTGGCATTAAGGTAATGGAATTAACTTGTTCCAGATACTGTATAAAACCAAAAAGGCAATCTCTGATCTAATGAACTTGCAGTATAAATGAACAGAAGAGAGCAAAATATGAGAGGAAAGATACACACAAGGTGAGGGTCAGGTTATATGAAGTTATTTTAGGTTATTTTAGAAGTACAAGACTTATCCAGAGGTAGAGTTGAGATTTCTATCTAAGGACCAAAGCAAAGCACTGTGGACAGCATAGAGAAGTCACTTCCATTTTAACAATACTGGTAATTGTTGATGGTGAAAATTCTGTGGAGTATACAGAGGTCATGCAGACTTTTTCACATGAAATATTAATATATATCGTTTGTAAAACACACCAAAGAAACTGCTTTGTAGCTTTGTCAAACAGAAAAACCTGTAACGCTCTATTTCTGTTGCGACAGTTGTTTTCACAATTATTTCTGTAACTGGTATAATTTTTCTTTACATAATCTCACCTTTCATAATGTTCTGTCGCTGCAGCTGGGCTGTTTTTATGCTTCAAGCAAGAACAGTTTACTATGGATATTAAAACTGGCTCCAAACCAAATTTTAGTCTAAAAATACTGATATGCCACAGCATACTCTTATTACTGCTATGGAAAAGAATTTGTTTGTGTAATAAGACACATGCTTTCCTTTTTTTTTTTTTTTTTTTCTTTTTCTGAAGTCTGGAGGTCACTTTAAGAGAGTGCATGTTTCCAGCTACATAGAGGGCCCCATCACAAAATATTTTCACTAACTCGCACAGTGTAACAGTATCATATTTATTCTGTGTGAAGCAGCAAAGTACTGGGGTTTGCAGTCTAAAGATGGAGAAGCAGGAACAGTAACTGTGACACATCTGCTGCAAGAAGCCTGCGGGTGACTTCGCTGAGGAGTGGGTCACACCAGAAAAATTGTATGGCTTTCCCAATTGCACAGGAAATCTGCCACAGCGCTGGCAACTGAGTATTTGTCTTCTAAGTTTCTTTGCTGTTGATTGTTTTATTACTGCTGTGATGGAGATAAAAAAGAAATAGCAATAGATAAATGTTGGATTCCTTGTGCTCTTAGTCAGAGATGTCCCAACTTTTCTATCAGCTATAGCAGGTGTGCGAGGAACTCAGTAACACAGATTATCATTTGTCTCAGGCTGGCGTGTTTGTTCACTGCTTGGCATATCACACTTAGCACAGCTAAGGCTCCTACACATTACCAGAGTTTGTAGCAATACTTAGTAAGAGCTCAGGGGTCAAAATACATGTGGGAGAAGGTATAGTACCGAGTCCAGGTTAGATACTGCACGGGATTTCAGAAGTGCCTTTCTCATGCTGGGAGCTGAGAAGGCATTTTGCACAGGTAATCCCATGCTGACGTTCATTGGTTGTATTCGCAGCATTGTCCCACACTCATAACTCAAAACCCTCAGCACAATAGCTTAAAAAGAAATAGCCTTGCTCCGAAGGAATTTTACTTTGATGTAAGAGGAAGTAGTCCTACCTGTCCAATTAAAATCAGCCCCATCTGCAGATTTGAGAAAGTCTTTGTAAACACGATTGGCTCTACTGATCACCACGGCAATGGCATCCTGGTGCTGAAGGGATGAAAACAGCCAGCGAGGGCAAGGCAGTCAGTGGGATGTGGTCTTCACTGCTGCGGAGACAGCTCTGTCGTAGCTGTAGGGTTTTAGGTTAGAGAAGGACATGCTGTCATCAGAGAAATGCAAGAGGCAGCACGCAGCCTTAGAGAATGAACAGGTACTTAGTGACAGAAATGGGCTGGGCTACTGCAGTTCACAACGAGAGAATACAGGAAGGATCATTTTCTCACAGGCTTCAGCTGCTTAAAAACCCAAGGAGTTATTGCTTTAGGTGAATGAGACCATGCTAGAAGGCATTTCTGTAGTTAAACGTACTTGGTGCAATTTTTTTCACATACAAGTAGACATAATTTAGAACAGCAAAGAGATTATTCCATTTCAGGTTGTGTTGGTTTTTTGTCGGTGTGGGTTTTGTTTTGTTTTGGTTTGGTTTTTTTTTCCCCCATATAACAACTTACTACATCAAAGAACAGGACCCAATCATCACAATGGAATATTGTTTCCTAGAACACAAGTGTGACAGATGTATTGTTCAAAAGCATTTAAAACCATTTTTCCCAGTATCTCATCCTTTCAAAGAGATAGAACAAAGCTGCACACATTCTGAAATCATACATAAATGTTTGCATAGTAACATTTTGCAAAAAGGAGGTGACTTGACTGAAAACACAAGCTTAAATTTTATAGGATGTCAGCTTTATTTTAGCTTGGATGTGTACCCTGCAAGTTTATCAGTAAATCCGCCAATCGCATCTTGATTTTCAAGTGGGGAAAAGAATTCACAGAGCACCAAACATGCAAGGCACATTGGTGTGTTCTCTTACAGTAAGTTGACTGTCCTTTAGAGATTAAAGGAAAGTAAGAAGTATTTCAGATAATTCAGTATGTCCAAAGTTCATCCAAAGTTGCAGGCAGACAACTTCAACACTATTCTGCATCCACTTTCTTTAGGAACTTGGTGGGCTCTCACAATATTTAAAAGCAACCTGCCTGAAATGGAATTCGTCTGTGTCTTTGCTAAAAACTGCATCCTTGACTATTACCAGGGTAATAGAAGAAGAATAGAAGACTTGCGATGCTGAAGTATGGAAGCTGGTCTGTGTTCATGTCCTGAGCCTCACGGGACATTTCCACGCTTTTCTCCTGCTGTAGCACTCCGGTTATTTGGTATTTTTCATCCAAAGTAGTGTAACAGTTTCTATGTCCTGGAGCTCAGCTGGTCTGCCAAGCTATGTCAGTTTACCAATTAACACAGCTTCATTTTGCCAGCTGATTCGATCATCCAAATGCACAGCAGACGTACAATTATGAATACTAATTCTCAAAAATGAATAGTGAACCTTAAAAACCTACATTAAAAGGCCTCATTTACTATAACAATTGGCAGATAACACCTCAGAAAGGGAGAGAAACACAGGAGGAAAAAAAATTATGAACTGAATGTTTGAAATGGAAAAAAATACCTGCATGTGTTTTCATAATAAAATGCAAGTGATATTCACAGGAGAACTATACAAAACAGTTAATGGAAAAATAAATAGCTGTTGGGGTTTTTTTGCCTTAGCTAAAGGAATATAGATCAAACTGAAATTGAGCAATTACTGTCTAGACAATTAATCAGTTAACGGGCTTAGAAATGAGGGTTTGGGGTTTTTAATTCCAATTTATTGTAAAGGTTGAAGCCACAGAGACCTCCACTGTTACTGTAGACACAACACAGAGGGAAGAAAGATCCAGACCACTGAAAGAGTATGGAAAAGTCAAAGTTGTTTATCACAAGGGATGTGCTAATATTAGTGCTGAAGCTGAGACAAACAGGTAAAATATCAGCACTGGAGCTGAGAGGAACACAAGTCTTGTTACGTTGATGCATTGGCAGTACACTGCAGGAGGTCATTCCAGAGCACCAACCTTGGAGCCATCACACCTGCACAAAAGCTGGAGATGGAGAGGGAAATCATGAGGAAGCAGTTGGAACTGCTGTGGTGTTTGGATGTCCAGAGGAGCAGTGGGGAAACAGTGCTCTTCTGCTCCCTCCTCATGTCAGCGGTGCCTCGGGGAGCTGTGAGAGCTGTTGAGGCTTCTCTGAGCAGCTCCCAGTCATCTGACCACGTCATCCAAAGGGGCAGGGGGAGCAGAGCCCCAGGGCCTGGTCCGTGAGCACCTTCTCTGCTGCACAGGGCCCGGGATCTGCAGCCGCAAGAAAGGCCCAGATGCTCTGTTAGCGTGGACCCTCCACGCAAGGTACTGGAACAGCCACGTTCACTCTCCACCACGCTTTGCTGTCCTCCTCCGTGGGCTCAGGGCTGCTCACCCCCCTGACCCTGCGGGGAAGGGGGCTACTCCTCCTTCTCCCGCTGCACGTCCTGGCCGGATTTGAAGAAGTCACTACGCAGCAGGCGGTAGAAGAGGATGAGGTTCATGGGCGTCATGATTGCCATGCCCACTGTGCCTACAGCATACGTTGCTGGGGGCACATTCTCCCGATTGAGAAAAAGCCAGTGAGCCATCCAGGCCAGCGTGGTGATGCGAAACACCACGTAGGTGCCCAGGTTGACGATGCTGTTGAGGCGGTAGCAGGTGGTGTGCATCAGGTCAGCCATGAGCAGGATCTGCCGCAGGTGGAGGAAGATGGAGTTAATCTCCACCAGTAAAGCCACGAGGGCAAACCCAACATATTGATGGAGCAGCACTGCAATGCCAAAGCAGACAATCACCTGGGAAGGAGAAAGAAGAGAGGCTGAGCCTGGGAGCTGGTTGCTCTCAGCTGCTGCAAGCCAGAGCCCTCCATGCTTGGGCACAGCATGGAGCAAAGGTGGAAATGGTTATCATACCAGTGCCAAACCTCTGGTCATCACCCCACACATACCTCTGCAGCATTGCAGCCTCAGGCATGAGATAAAGCCTCCCCACTGCTGCAGGAAACCTGAGCTGTTTTTTTTTTTTTCCCAGTGGGAGGAGAGGGAAACACTTCTATAAACTCCATGTTGGCAGAGGAGACAGAGCAGCTAGACCTAACCCTGCTTTTGTGACCTGGGGAATGCAGTTGGTTGTGGCCCAGCAGGTTTTTCTGCAGACAGTGAAGGGGGCAGGAGGGGGGCGATGTGTAGCTGAGAGCTGTGGTTGCTGCTGGCTCAGGGATTCTCCCCAGAACAGGCATGCAGCAGGGATTAAGCCACTTTGGTGCATCAGAGAGCCCCTTGGGACGCCCCGAGCCTGGGTTGGAGCACCCTGGGGCTGTGGGATGCTGTAGCACAGGACAGGGCTGATGGGGGCAGAGCAGGTGTGATTCTGCCCTGCACTCTCCCTGCTGTGTGGGGGGACAGACTCTGCCTGCCCACACTTCAGCACACTCCGTCCTTCAGCTTATACCATTAATGCTGTTCTCTGTATTGGCTCTTTAATGAGATTATCTGCTCCCTGCTTGTTAAGTCACTGTCTTGGCCTATATTAGCTCTCTTGTGGAGATGACCTTTTGACTGGCAAGCCACAGCCAGCAGAGCCACGGGGCTCACTGCGTCTGTGAGACAGCAGGTCTGACCATCGCCTCCCCCATCTCATCCCAGGTAGGTCCCAGTGCTGTCCCAGTGCTGTCCCTGTCCCCACCCCCAGGCCCTGCAGACCCCTGTGCCTCCCCTGTACCCTGCAGTGTCTCTGCTGCCCAGCTCTAGGTGGTGCCACCCCCCTGTCCTGCAGCATCCGCAACGCTTCCACACCCAGACATTGGAGGCAATCAAAGAGACACCTGCGCTGGGCACAGCCAGCATCTGGCACAGGTGTGGGGCTCCTGCACCACGGCTGCTCCAGCCACACCAGCCCCGTGGCCATGGCTCTGACCCGAATGTGAGGAGAGCACCCCAGGGAGCGGGAGGTGGAAGGAGGTGACGTGCAGCCCTTCCTGGGAGATGCTCAAGTGGCTGAGAGCCAGCAGGAGCAGAGCTGCTCTCCTGTGCCAATAGGGACAGCTGGGTCACTGCCCATCCATGCCACTGCTACTGCTAAGCACCCCCAGCCCTCTTCCTCCCTACTCTGTGCACATGGTTTTGTTCCTACCCCATCTTTGGGTGCCTTTCTGCAGGCCCTTAAAGAGGAGCTGGACCAAGAGGGGTTCCAGGCCCTGCCATGGCTCCTCTCCCCAGGCAGAAAAATCAGGGCAATTCTGTAACAGGCAGCAAACACCCACACCAGCAATAGCAGGAGCCCTGCTCCTGTCCCCCAGCCTCCCTGGCGGTACGAGTGCCAGGGTCTGTCCCGCGGAGAGCGGCTGGTAGACTCACCACGGAGTGATGGAAGAGCAGCTCCCAGGACTGGTGAAGTTTCTGATGGCACAACATGTCCACAAAGTCTTCAAGGAAATAACCTGGGATCAGAGAGGAGATGAGCAAAGAAGGGAGCTGGGAAGGTCTGTGCCAAGGGACCCCCCTGCCCCAGCAGGCTCTGCACCTGACTGGTGCCTGGGCAGCCCCTCCGGGGGAGTGATGGCCACAGCTCAGCCCAAACCCTCTGTGGGTGGTGAGTCATGCAGAGAGCAGGATCACACATGGCAGGAGAAGGAAATTGGTGTATTTTGGCTCCCTCCTGCAATCACTCTGTCGGACGTGCTCCTAGGGAGAGGCACTAACTGATCACTGGGGTCTGTTCCTGGAGAAGGGTGAGAGCAAAGGCAGCACGTCGACCCTCACCCTTGTTACTGTCCCAGAATCGGATCCCGTTCAGCCTAGAGCCTTTAACAGCTGCAGGATTCGCTGCCACCAAACCGACTCCACGATGACATTTTAGATACTCAAACCTCCTCGCTGAGCTGTAGCCATGCCAGGAAGGTGGTTAGCACTGACTGCAGGGCTGGTGACAGATCTGCAAGAGGGTGACAAGGTGGGGAGGGGGGGGAAAGCTTCACACAGCCAGAGGATTCAAAGCTCCTGGCCTCCACAGTGGTATGGTTATCTCAAGGCTTTGAGGGGGACCTGCATCAACCCCATATCATGGGCACTTTTGGGGTGCCCCAAGCCCTGGCTGCCACATGAGGATGGTAGTGGGGAGCCTGGTGCCCAGCACCTCCTGGCTGTGGGTGCCATGGGACAGAAAGGAGTCACTGTCCTTTGCCAAGAATAGGGTGATTGTCTGGGGTGCCGGAGATGTCGCTGCACACGTGGCTCGAGGGGCCGGTGTCAGGCACCGATGAGCCCCTGGAGACCCCATGGGGGACAGAAGGGGGGGCAGCCCACTCCCCCCCCCCTCACCTACAGATACGGCGACCAGGCTGTGTGCCCCAGGTGGGTGCGTGCTCACCAGGTCCTCAGACAGCACAGGGTGGAGGCAGAACCTGCAGGGAGAGGGGTTGTGAGTGCCGAGCAGTGCCTCTGGTCCCCTAATTCCCTTCCCGTACCCTTGGTGCCCACCTGGTGCTGCTGAGCCCCCCCAGACCCCTCCCATCCCTCTGATCCCACCACAGCCACCCCATCCTCCTATTTCCCCCAGAGTCTCCCTACCCCCTGCTGCCTTACTGCCTCCCTGTCCCTTTGTCCCCCTGTGCCCCTCGATCCCTCTTCCATCCCCCAGTGCCCCCCCAGTTTCCAGGTCCACACCCTTCTCAGTGCTCCTCAAGGTCTCCCAACACCCCCATTCCCCACTGGGCGGACTCAGTCTCCCTCAGTGCCCCCCTGACTGCAGGTTCCCTCCGGGGTCCCTCAACACCCCCATTCCCACCAGTCTCCCCCCGCAGCAGTCCGGTATCCCCATCTCCTTTCCCCCAGCCCTAGATGCCCTCCGGGACTCCGCGGTGCCCGGGGCCACTCACCCGGCCAGCGCCCCGCCGCCGCTGAGCACGCTGTGTGCCAGCGATGTCCAGATGTTGCGCCACTTCCAGCGGTTGCGCCAGGCCGAGGGCGGCGGCGGCACCAGTCGCTCCAGTCCCCGGTTTAGCAGGCGAAAGGCGGCGAAAGAACCGGCCACCAACAGCAACCCTCGGCTGAAAGCCATGGGCATCCACTGGCCCCCGGGGCGGGGGAACAGCGAGCATCGTCCCACAGGGAAGGGCCAGGGCGGCTGCGGGGGCCGCCCCGCTGCTGGCACTGGCCCTTCCCGCATGCCCCCACGCAGAGATGCAGACACCCAGGGGCAGTGCTTCCCCTCGGAGCGTGTGACTCAGGGAGAGGGGGGGAATGGGAAATGGGCACCCCGGGTCTGCATTGCACAGCAGAAACAATGGCCAGCCCAAAAGCCAGCTGTAAGCGTGCCACGGAGCGCAGGCCTGGGTGTCCCGTTGCTGTGCTGGAGCTGGGGACACTTTCCTCCCTCCCCCGAGGTTCCTCCTCCACCTCGGTGGCACCGGGTGGCCAAACACCTCACCCGTGAGGTGCTGCGGTCGGTGGTCCTGTCCCCCAGAGCATCCCCGGCACATGATGCCAGTGAGGGTCTTGCACCGTTGCACTGTGCCAAGGAGCTGCCCCCACCCTGGGTAAGGACCACGCAGACACAGCTGCTGGCTCAGATTGCACGTCAAGCAAACAAAAAGGTCCAGTTACCCTGCCAAAAAAAAATTCTTTGCCCACAGAATGGTTGTCTTCCATCCCCTGCCTGGTCCTGAGAGGAGCTCCCCGATGTCTGGGATACCCCAGCTCTGCTGCTGGGGGTTTGTGGGAATTCAGGATCCTGTACCCACGATTTCTTTAGTTCCATCCTACAACTACGCTGCTTTTCCAGCTTCATCTAATTTGATGTCTCCCCTGTTGCTTTTTGATGTCTCCACCAGAAACGTGACGGCTGCTCAGACCTTGCTTCTCTTCTGCAGATGGGGTGCGTCGCTGTGTACACACTGATTAATGTCAAACTCTGCCTTTCCTTTGAGGTATTACTTTTGGATGAAATATTCTACTTTCTCTTTGCTGAAACAGAAACGTGTGGAGCCTGAGCTCTCAGTTTCTGCCCTGGCTGGGGTGATGGACACTAAAACATCAACAAGCAATATGCTGATGGAAGGGACACTGAGGAGGAGAGCTATTAAGTCAGATCTGAAGCAACGGAGTGAGATAGTCCCAACAGATAGAGAAGCATCTGTTCGTGCTGCAGAAATTTGCTTAAAAGCTGGACAAGACAATGTAATTTCATAGCGGTTAAGTGGTGGGGAGACACTGCCTGAAATAATTGGCAGACCTGACTGCTCGAGGGATTTTAAATAATCTCATGTATTAGGACTTGAAGGATCACATAGGCTAATCTGCTACTGAGAAGGCCAAATGCAGACATTTCTGTTTAGCATAAGATATGCTGAGGAAAGGGAGAGATGCCTTGGAGACATGTCGGGCTGCTCAGAGCACTGAGGACAAAAATCATTTAATTGCAGTATAAAATTGCAGAGAGGTGATTCCCAATGAGGACTCTGCAGTGTTTTAGCCTCGGAAATCTCAGCTGCTCCTTTCCACGGTGACAACCCTGCCCTTCACCTGCCTGCAGGTGAAGTCCCAGACCATGAAACATCTGCAAGCCTGACCCTATTTGTCCCAGGGACTCCTTCATTTGTGGTGTTATTCTTCTAAAGATGAACATTTGGCCAGGCTTGGGTCAGGGACAGGAATAGTTAAAATACTTCTGAACACTGGAGAGCTGTTACCTATCACTTCCACGTCAGAGGAATTTAAGCTGTGATTAACTGAGCCTCCGGTTCAGGGGTTTTGATCCCACTGCTCGAGCACTAGCAACAGCTACATACATAATACTTTTTGGATACTTTCAGAGCAGATTTTACTTAATTTTACCAGGATTTGTCATCAAGCAGTGGCTTCTTACAAGCTCTTTTTTTCCAGCCTTTTCTCCTTTCCTCTGCAGCGATGGGGTTGGTTTCAGAGCTGGAGACTTCTACGCCCAGTTACAAACAGGTCCCTTGACACCAGATCGGGCCAAATACTCATGTCCCCCAGGCTGGGAGGCCAGGCTTGTCCCAGAAGCAGCCGCACAGAAGAGCGGGGACAGGAGCTCTCGGGGAACAGCTGCCACAAGGGGTCCCTGCACGCTCGCTGGAGAGAGCAGCCCGAGCTGACAGGACTCTTCGCTCACACCTTATTTGGAGATATTGCCTTTTTCACCCAAATTTCGAGACGTTTACCAAAAGGCCCCAAACGGCCTCATTTTCTGCAGGGAGGCAGCTCAGCCTGGTGACGGGTCGCTGCTGGTGCTTGCTCCCAGCAGGGCAGGGGACTCCTTCTAGATGTCAGAAAAGGACATAACTAGGCCCACCCCGTAATGCCGTGGGGACCACAGCTGATGCCACAGCAGGGGATTTACAGCAGCAGCCCGGGACTAAACTGAGGGTAGAGCAGTTTTGTCAATAGCTGGACAGTGGCTGTGTTCTCCCTCTCACAGGCTGGGGTTCCTCTGTAGCACATCTGCGAGAGATAACCCATTTTCCACAACAAAGAGCTGGCGGTTTGTTGACATCCACATGAATTCTGTCAGATAAATTATGTCTTCCCCTAGATGCTCCCCACTACTCCTGGATGGGGGTTTGGGTGTCCTTTCACAGCTCCTCCATCCCTTACACAAGGAGGAGGCCACTCTGCTCCCGAGCACCACCCAGGGCTCACTGTAGCCAACAGACGTGGAAGCTTCTGACATGGCAAAGTCCTTCTAGCAAAAATCATGCTCCTGTTTTTGGAAAGCCTTGCTCTCTTACTCTGCTTCTCTCCAGCCAGGGAGGCATGAAGCCCATCTGCTCATCCAGTGCCAGACTTGGCTCACACCTAAAATCATTGGAGGACTCCAAGTTCTCAAACAAATCAGCTTGGCTTCCAAACTTTAATTAGCTGTCGTCTTCATCTCTCTCTAAAGCGTGTCACCACTCTATCTGCGAGGCCCTAGGAAGTAAGATGATCTAGGAGTGCTTTACTCTATAAATCCACATTTTCATTCAGAAAGTCTGTAACTCCACACTAATTAAAGGATCTACTGTGCAAAACGCATGCCATGTGTGGCAGAGCATGACCAGGCATTGCAGAGGCAGCTGTGAAGAGAGCTGAAATCAGTGCAAACTTGAGTGTCCACCCCTTCCAGCCAGAAATAGCTTCCTGATGTGGAAGCTGGATATTCTCCAGGTGGAACTGGGGATATATTTGCCATAGCCACAGGAGAAAGGCACATCAGTCTGTGAGGGCAGTGAGCAGAAGGGTTTCTGCTGGCATGGGCAGCACAGAGCATTTTTACTACTTTTTTTTTTTCCCCAGCCCTTAGCTCCATTTAACACACACACAGGTCCAGGATTTAACGAAAGAAATGCCAAAGTGTGCGTCACTTAACCACTGACCTCAGGACTTGATCTTGTCCAGCAGAGGAGATCATCTGGCTTTGCACTGCAGCCCTGCCATTCACCCTGCTGCAGCCTGCAAGCTCGGCCTCCTGCGGGAAAAGACTCTTCCCTTCCCTCCCGCCATGTTCTGACCAGCCCTGCTGTGCTGCCCAGGTTGGCCGTCCTTCCTGAGATCATTCCTTGACTAATGCATGTCTCCTGGGAGCTTCCCAGCACCGGGATGCTCTGGGGCCAGCTGCCAGCACAGCACGCTGCCTTCTGCATTTCTGCATGCAGGAATGCCCCCCTTACCGAGAGCCAGAGCCACCCAGGCAGAGCTTTGCCCACATGGTAAACAACTCCATGGCAGGTTGCTCTAGATGCTCTTGATTTTGGCTTTCTTCCTTTTTCCCAGGACTGGAAGTGGTTTGTTGTTTTTTGTTTTTTTTTTTTCCTCAGGATTTGGCACAAGGCATCTGTAGGAGAAACCTGTGACAACAGTACAATGTCCCTGAGGATGCAGCGGGCTCAGACATCTCTCAAGGGCTCCTCAGCTGCCGTGATTTGGTTGTGCAAAGGATGTGCTCTCTCTTTCTCACTCCAATTGCACAGGTATGCCATGGGATGGAATTTTTTGAAGGGAACCCCTTCAAGCACAGCAGCATGGGCAGTTCCTTATATTTCTCCTCCCCTTTCAGTAGCTGACATGCCCCAAATTTCTCTACTTCCTGAATTAATCTGCTGCCATCAGTAAAGTTTCACGTTCTTTCTTTCCCTATGGGGAGCAGTGAAGCATGGGGCCAAGTGTCTGCCCAGCCCGTTTCTCACCTCTCACCATCGCCAGACACGAATCCTTATGAAGAAGCACGTATAATTATTCTTACCCTATAAGCAAATTCATTCCCACTAAATATTTCCTTTTCTATGTCTTCTTCCCTTGTGGGATAAACATTTTTTCCTCTGTTAAGCTCACCATTCTCAAGCTTAAGTAATTTTTGATGGGTATCTATGTACTTTCTGGTTGCATGTTTTTGCAATTCAGACAGGTTCAGAATGAGCCTGCAAGGTGGAAGCATGTCTCAGCCCCTACACCCCCTCCGTGCAGCATCACATGTCGCTGAGCCCACTTGATTCCTCCTGCATTAAATATAAGTGCAGGAGCTTCCTAACTGCGTCTCCTGCTGCTGCCGGCTCTGCAACTTGGAACAGGTTAGGTTCCCTCCTGAATTCTCTCGTTATTAATATCACAAACCAAGCTGTTCTGAGAGCGGTGTCCCATTAATCATGTTAGCTCTGCTGCAGTTTTCACCTCGCTTCCTCTTCCTGCGCCTGAACAGTCTTCAATAACATTCGACTCTGTGGGTAATGCTCAGTTAAAATCAGCAGGTCTGCTAAGGCAGGGAAGGTCCCTGACCTGAGCAAGATGGGGACAAGCAAAGGTGGGACAAGTGTGTGTCCACACAGCCACGGCTGCCTTACAGCATGAAAAGATGTGCCACACCAGCTGATGGGAGTAGAGACTTGAAGGGAGGAGAGCTACCCCCCTCAAATCTTCATCACTAAACTTGAATTTTCCAGAGTGCTGACAACTGGAGAGACCCAGCAAAAATGAAGATATCTAATAAAATACGAGGTCAGCTCAGCAGCTCCCGTGAGTCAGCACCAATGTGGGCAGCAGGTCTGGTTTCCGATGCCTTCCTGGGTTCTGTTTGTGTTTGGCACACAAGGAAGGCACCGCTTCCTTTTGTTCTCTTCCTACCTATGTTTAATTCTGCTGTGTGTTACAAGCAAAGGTCTTACTCTGAGTAACTACCTCTGGGTTACCTAACCAAGGGCCAAAAGATGCTTACAGAGCATCTTCTGAAAAATCTGCCTCCGACTCCATCCCATTGCCCGAATCCCTCGAGGGCACGTTGTGTGTTTCTAGGTGCTGGCTCTCAGAGACGCAGTAATGCAGCATCCCTGCAGCTAACCCAAACCATCCCTCTTACATCCAATACCCTTTTCAACTTTCTATCCTTTGCCATCATCTTTGCCCCTGTCAGAGATGGGTGTTTTGTTTTGCATTTTACAAAAGCCCTTCCCTGGCTGCATCCATCGGCATCCAGCAGCTGAATCAGCTGCTCAGCTCTGCAGTGTGAGTGCCACCACACAGGACTGAGCTCCACCTGGCTTGTCCCAAAGCCTCCCACAGCTGCACTCCCTTGTACCCGCTGCTTTGCTGGTGCGCTGCAGCTTTCATCCGTGAGCAAACATTTCTTCAGCGATTCCTGCTGAGTCAGAGAACGCCTCTGTGAGGGCTCCTGCTTCTCCACGTGGGAACGCGCTTCTGGGGAATAATTACAGAGAGTTTAAACAGAGATGTTTGCAGCCAAATTGCTTCACATTCAGGCTCCTGGCCAGGAAGGCTGAACCCAAAAGCTGCTCATTGGCGCTGTGAGAAAATACCTCACACCTGCGCCCATCATGGGCGTGCATCTCCCGTGGGCTAAGATCACTCCTTACACGGTGTGCTCACGGCTTGGTGAGTCCAGCGAAGGGACCTGCTTCAAAAATTAGCCAGTTTGCACTTACCGAGCATCCCTGTGTATGCCCTCTTCTCCAGGCCATGCCCACCAGAGGATTTTTGTGTGTCGTCCCTAGCTGGATTTGGGAATGTGCTGCGTGGCAGAAAGCCAGTCCCTGTAAAGCTGCAGTTCTGCAAGGTGGATAATGGAATCACTCTGCTAGTAACTTTTCCCCCTAAATTCTGAGGCATATTTTAAGGTTGTGAAACATATTGACTCTGAAATAGAGATAAGAACTGGAGTAGACACAAACAGCGTAGGCGTTACACCCGGGTTTTTTTGCAACTCCCACTCTGTTGTAAAAATAGTACAGCAAGGAGCACGCTGCTCTGTGCCATCCTTCAGAGACCAAACGACGATGGGACCACGTGTCTGGACATCAGCGGACTGAACCAGAAGCAGAGCTGGGACATAAGGCATGGGCAGAGGTGCTGAACCCTTTCCTGTTCCTTAAAATCGATGGAGGTCTTACCAAAAGATCAAATTAAATCATTTTAAATGTTATTGAAATAGATAAAAAGTAGTAATATCATTCCGAAGTGCTGCAAAAATACATTGCACTGAGCTAGGGTGCTTTCCGTCAAGAAGAGGGACAATGGGAAGCTGCAGCAGGGTGTCCCTGCATCCACTCAGTTTCTGTTCACATTGTACACAACGCACCTGGTCTTTAGACCACACCTGCACCGTAATTCCTAACTGCCCTTAATTCTTTTGCAATTCCAAACCGGAGCAAAATACAATTAATTAGGTGCAGACCAGTTGCAGAAATCAGATAAGACTCGCTGGCAGGCAGCTGCTTCCAGGAGATGTGTCTCCTGACGGATGGGGACGTTGTGCAACTCGGGCAGAGCATCACCCAGACGTGGGCTGGCGGCGGGGAGAGCGCCTGCGATAAGACGTGAGGGTGTCACCTCAGCAGAGGAGAAACTCGCGGCCGGCGGCCGGGGTGGCTTTCCAACCCAGGAGATAGTCACCGGAGCCCCCACGGCAGGACCAGGTGAGTACCCACCCATGCTTCTCCTAAGGGACCCAGTAGTGGGGCAGCAGCGCAGAGGGAATTTGCAGGAGCAAGTCACCATTCTGCACTGAAAACTGCCTTAAACAACCCTCCTCTGCTCCATTTCCTACTTTTTTTTCCTCCGAAACAGAGAGGGAGAATTCTGATCAGCCTCTCAGTTGATTGCTAAGGCAGGGACAGTTTTAAGGACCAAGGTTTTTGGCTCTTTTCTAGCCCAGGAGGCATTTTGGGCAGGGATTACTGCTTTTGTTGTCTGAAAAGCAGATACATCTCCCCATGTCCAATAGATCAATAATCACACACTCAGGACAGACATTGCTTATTTATTTTAAGGATGTGCAAGCCTGGGTGCTCAGCGGTTTCCCACAAATCAAGCACAGCAGTGGGACATTTCACGCTATATTTATACCCAACACTTAATAATTTTCTAAGTCCATCTTCTCTACGATGATTAGTTAGTAATTTACACACAATTATAATACTGCTGATACTTCTACTACGCATTGTCAGGGGAAGGGTCTTCACCTGGGCAAGGGTCTTCTTGACCCATAGGCATGATTTTTATTATTAGAATGAGGGTAGTTCAGCTAAGGATACATGGACCTTGAGTTTGCTTGCCAAGTTGGTGATGTGCCTTCTTCAACGTCTAACTGCTTCAGGATGTCCTTGCTCAAGGAAAGCTATTTACTTCTCGTTCTGATGGGGATGCCTTTGGCTTTAACATAGACAAGGAACATCTTTCTTGACCGAAGCATAATATTGTGACACTGTTCTAAATGTTTAATCTTCAACACTTTCATGGCACTTAGCATGAATAACATCTCTGCATAAATGTAAGAGATGTTTTGGAGAGGCTGAAGCAGCTCTTCAGACCTGAGCTTGGGGGAGCTGTAGGATATGGGAGCAGCACCTCACCTTAAATAATTGTATTCATTTGCAATGGTCATTAATCATATTTGCTCACTCACCCTGTGCTGCAGTTGAGTTAATGAGACACGAGGCTGAAAACAACAAGTGGGCGAAGTTGGAGGAGAAAAGGGCAGAGGAATGGGCTTTAGGTTTGGATGTAAAGTTAAAAGAGTGGGAATAATGTGTGTTTTCCTCCAGTCGAGAGTTTTTTCCTGCTGTACTGTGTGTTTGGGGCCCCCTGAGTGCACAGTGCTGACCTGCTCCCAGCTGGGGCGGTGGTGGCCCTGCATTTTGGGGTGGGATTTTGCAGCAAGGCACGAAGGTGTGCAAAGGCACAAAAGACAGAGCCTACAGACAACAGCATCCATAGGAGCTGACCCTGCCCTCTGCTTTCCCGCAGCCACTGGCATGGATTACGATGACACCGTCACCGCTGAGGTCTGCAAGGAGGATGACATTGAGGATGGAGAGTGAGTACCCAGCAGGGAGGGAGACCAGGCCCTGGCCTGCCCCCACGAGCCCTGCAGGCAGCAGGGGTGGCATCGCCATGGCAACAGCTGCCATGTTGGCGGCCACCATGATGTTGGTTGAAGGAGTGGCATAATGGCTGCAAGGGGCCGAGCTTTGGCTCGCCAGCGTGCCCACCTCCCTCCCCACCTCTCCCGCAGGCTCTGTGAGGTGATGGTGGCTGGTTACCCAGTGCTGCTGGTGAGGAACAGGAAGGAGTTCAGTGCCCTGGGCAGCAGGTGCCCCCACTATGGTGCCCCGCTCAGCAAAGGTAACGCAGCCTCTGGGCAGCGGGGAGAAGCCGTGTCAGGGAGGTCAGCTCTCACCATTCGGCTGTGGGGGGCTTTTCTGTTGTAGGAGTCTTGAAAGGGGAGAGGCTGCGCTGCCCCTGGCATGGCGCTTGCTTTAACATCAAAACTGGAGACATCGAGGAATACCCTGCTCTGGACTGTCTTCCCTGCTTTAAGGTGACTTCTTGTCTCTTTCTCCTCCCAGCTTGGGCCACGTCCTCCATATCACTCTCATTCATTCACTCTCACAAGCCCTGTGCTCCTGACACCAGCTGAAAACACCTTGCCCTGGCCACAGGTCCATGGTCCAGGTCACATGGGATGGTTTCTTGGGCTCATGTAACTCCCTGTCCTAAAGCTCCTTTAAATCAAAGGTGATCCCATACATCTTGGTATCCCTCACAGCCAACACAGCTCTTTTGGAAAGAAAAAAGGATTTACACCATTTCCTGAGTGTTCTTGGGATGAGGAGAAAAGCTCATGAGCTCCTCAGCATCATCTGACATCCAAGATCCCTACAAGTCACTCTGGGTGTGTCAGAGACAGCTGGCCCATAACCTCCCAGGAAAGCTCCTACCACAACCTCATGAATGCAGCACTTGAATGCACTCTCTTCTCACCCCTTTAGGTAACCGTGAAAGACGGAAAGGTGTTTGTTACTGCAAAAAAGAAGGTACTGACCTCACCTGCTCTTGTTAAGCACAAGCAGCACCTTGGGCTAGGTATGATTCTGGCATTTCTCAATTTCTTCTAGGATCTTGAAAGCAGCTTGAGGGTGAAGGATGCAAGCAAGCGATGCCTTCTCAACTGGGACACGATGCTGCTCCTGGGGGGAGGTCAGTGAAGTGGTCTGTACTGTACCCTCCCCACATATGCTGTGAACTGCCACTCTTCTCCAGGGAGGACTTGGCTGCCTTCCTCCTACTCCTCAGTGATGTGTAAGAGGGCTGAGATGAGCATTTCTTGTAGGTGTGGCTGCCCTGGCATGTGCAGAGACACTTCGCCAAGAGGGCTTTACTGGCAGGATCATCATGGCCACCAAAGAGAAACATGTTCCATATGACAAGTCCAAACTGAGCAAGGTTCGTCTGTGAGAAGGGCGGGACTGTGCCTGGGTACCACGTGTGAATTAGGGACATGGCTCACACTCAGGACCAGACTGAGCAATTAAGTGAGCCCTTCTGGCAAAGCAGAAGGAGTGCTGAGGCACCCAGAGGAAAAAGGTGTATAATTTCCAGCTGACTTCTTCCTCCTAGAAAGTCTTTGTTCAGAGTCCACTGTAAGCTAATGGTTTTATCCCCTTTCACTGAGTTCTTCCCACTAGAGTTTGAATTGATGGGTTTTTCTAAGGAGGGACAGGAAGATGATGGGGATGGGGCACTGTGGGGAGCTGTGATTTACTAATGGAAAATTTACCTCATGCAAACTCACTTCCCAGTAAACACTGCAAGAGTATTGCTGTCTGTAAGAAGTGCTTTATTTCATATTTCTGTTTTGTTTTCAGGAAATGGACTTGAAAGCTGAGGACATCTACCTGAGGAAACCTGAATTCCTTGATGCTCGTGACATAGAGGTCTGGACAGAGAAAGAGGTACAAGAGCAGCTGAGCTCAGTCCTCACTGGGTTAGTCCTGTTCCTGCCATGGGGAGGGGATGCTCACACCTACAGACAAAGCGCTGCAGTTACAGAAATTAGGGCTCTGCCTAAGTACACGCATTATCTTCTGGGACAGCATTCCAAGGCCACTGCTAGGGACGGTGTGCATGCCTTGGGTGTAACACTGATCTGTGCTACCCAAGGACAGATGTGCCTAGATTTGCTGGTGTCATACTTAGTGCTCCTAAAGCCTAAGAGCTGTAGGAAGTGAGAGAGAGGACGCCAGCATTCCTCATCTCACCTGAGTGTCCAGGAGTAGGGCGTGCAGTCACAGGCAAGCGGAATGGATCGATGTGGCAGGACACCGGTGGACCAGAGGTACCTGTCTGATCTTTGCCTCCTTTCTCCTCCAGGCAGTGTCAGTGGATTTCCAGAAGCAGAAGGTCCACTTTATGGACGGGTCCTCTCAGAAATACAATCAGCTGCTCATTGCAACAGGCAGCCAGTGAGTGCACAAAGCAGTTGACACACACAAAGTTGTAGGCAGGACAAGATGGGTCAACACTGGGATGTGGAGGTCTTCTAGAGGCGTGTGAGGGAGGTGGTAGGAGATGAGATAAAAGGGTGGGATGGGATGACACAGCCAAGAGATTGCATGGGTTTGTGCTCCCCCTTATTCTTTCTGTTTCATTTCTGATCATGAGATGTATCTGGATTCTCTCTCAGCTCCAGCCTCCTCGAAGTCCCAGGTGCAGACCTGCAGAATGTGTGCATTCTCCAAACCCCAGAATGCTCCAGCAAGATCTTAGAGCTGGCAACTGGGAGGAACCTGGTGATTGTGGGAGCTTCATTCGTAGGTACCAGGCGGGAGTGGGTATTAAGTCACCAGTGACAGCCCTGAAGCCCACTTCTGTTGTGTGTGCAGATTAACCTGAGGCCCTCGGGGAAGGGATGTTCATTCACTACCTGGATGATTTCCCCCTGCAGCCCTATAGCTGGTGGGGGGGTGTGTTACACAGCACGCACTCACTCTTTCCTCCTATAGCCAGAAACTTTGAGAGCTATAAACAGTTCCTGGACATGGACAGAGAGAAATGTGCCTTATGAAAAGGTCACTGTCCTTCAGAAGAGCTGGATTTCACAGAAGCTTTGGGAAAGTGAGGGGGTAAGGCACAGAAAGGGAGCTATTTTGTACACAACCAGGAGCTGCTCTTTGTATTTCCTAATATCCAGGTCTGTAGTGCATGAGAACAAAGAGTGGGGGAAGTTAAATACCTCAGCCCAGAAATGCATAGAAGAGCAGTTAAGCATGGCAATACATCAGATCTGTTCTCCCCATCTGGAAGTGGAAAAGATTTCCAAGGAGGAGGGTGCAGGTCCATGCTTGCAGCAGGCTTACCTTGGGCATGCCTTTCCCTTGCAGGAATGGAGGTAGCTGCCTTCCTCTCAGACAAGGCTGGCGCCATCTCAGTGGTTGAAAAAAGGGAATTCCCTTTCCAGAATACGCTGGGTCCTCAGGTTGGAGGTGTCGCCATGAAGGTTAGAAAAACCTGCTGCTCGTTTCTAGGACAGAGGACAGACACATGCTATCCAAGCAGCCCCGTGATCTGCAACAGGCCAGGAAATCCAGCCCCAGCGCTGAGTCATAAACCTGTGAGCCCAGCCACCTATCTCACACACAGCTCCCTGAAGGAGCTCTGCACACATGGCTGGTCCCAGCCTTCCTCACACACACGTCACGCTCTCCAGCTCAGCTTCACCCCAGGCCCTGCTTCATCCTAGACCCACCTCACCCACCGGTTCTGACCAGGACAGCAGAGCAGAGCCAGGCTTCCAGGCACCCTGCACCAGCCAGGGACACAAATGAAACCTCTCTGCAGCCTGGAACAGCAGCAGAGCTCCCTGCCGGGGTTTTGGCTGGGTACAGCTGTTTTTACAGCAGTACAGCCTGGAATTTCCTAGTGAATACTCAAACCAGCTTCCTCTTCCTTTTCAGATGCTGCAAAATAAAGGGGTGAAGTTTTACATGAAAACAGAACTCTGTGAGCTGAAAGGAAAGGATGGAAAGGTCAGCCATGCCATCATGATCCCAGAACTGCTAGTTTTAGGGGGAAAACCCAAACTGAAGTATAACCCAGTGCCTACATTGAGGATTTCCTCTCCCATCTCTAGACCCTCACATTTCTTTTCATTTAGCACAACTCCAGGCTCAAAGGGCACCGGTATGTGTTTGTATCTGAGGGACAACAGTGTAATTTTCTCTTACATAGCTGGCAACACACATTAGTTGGACAAGGTGATCTGAACCTGGGGAAGAAAAAAGTCAGCAAAGAATGAGGCAGCAGGGAGGCTGCAGGAATTAGGACATAGTCTTTAACCCTTTGTTAACGATTCTTGCTTCCTTCCTAGGTCACAGAGGCTGTTCTTGACAGTGGAGAGACGCTACCTGCAGATGTGGTAGTGGTGGGAATAGGTAAGAGACCCCAGTTGGGAGAGGGAGGCAGCACTGGGAGTAGGGAGAACAGCCAGCAAGCCCAGAGCATCACTGTTCCTTCCCAGGACACCATTCCCTGCAGTCTCTCCCACTCTGTTATCATCCAGCCTTTCCTCTTGGCCCCAAAGACCTGGAGAAATTCAGCAGCCCATGAGCAAATGCTTGGCAGGAGGAAAGGAGCTACTTATGCTCTCAGTATGACTTTGGCACGCTTGCTGAGCTTCATAGGTCACTGCTGCGTTATCAGAGTGTGCCTTGTTCTGGGCCCTGGTTTTACTGCCCCTGGATTAGCTCAGCACCAGCCCAAGCACCCGTCACTGCTGTGGGCTGCTCTGCTCCAAGCAGGCTGAACAGGCACCACGGGCACGTGCTTGCTGTAGGGCTGAGGCCAAGTTTCCTCCCTGCCTTTGCAGAGCTTTGCTGCATTTGTCCTTGTTCCTCTCCCTGCAGGGGTGTTCCCCAACTCAGCATTTCTGAAGGGCACCTCCATTGCCAGAGATGACAGCGGTGCCATACTCGTCAATCTGGTAAGCGCCAGCTGAGTAACCCTGCTCCACACACAATCCCTTCCCTCTCATCGTTCCACTAATTGGTATTTCTCCCATCAGTGCATGCAAACCAACATCCCAAATGTCTTTGCTGCGGGGGATGTGGTCTCCTTTCCTGTAGCACTGCTCAACGGGGACCAGTCCAGCATCCATCACCAACAGGTGGCTGAGGCCCACGGTGAGACAGCGCAGCCACCTCGTTTTCCAGCTCCCCTCAGAACTGGGCACAGAGGGAGTGGGGCAGAAGGGACAGTGTGGGATAGCAAGAGGCAGGGAGGCACTTCTTTGAAGACCTGCAAGAAAAATATTTCCTCTGCTGGCTTATCACAGGTCATATTGCTGCCTTAAACATGCTGAAGAAGGAGAAGGAGTTGCACACTGTTCCCTTCTTCTGGACCATGATGTTTGGAAAAAGCATCCGCTACACAGGTAGGAGGGGGCAGAGAGGTAGGAACAGCTGAACTGCTTCCTACCACATCTGCTCATCCACCAGCTGGGTCTGGGCCTTGTAAACACACAGCGGTCACAGAGTTTACCTGAAGCAGCTCAACTTTTGGACCAGCTGCCATAGCAAGTTTTTGAACCCTATTTCTGAGCTCTGGGCTTGAAGGTTACCCAGAGCTCTTGTTCTTTGCTGATCTCCAGTGGCTTAGTAGTCACGAAGGAGGAAGAACTTTCCTCTCCAAGCCAAGGAGAGGCTCAGAGTCATGACAGTCATGCACCCCTGGGTCAGTTCTGCTTGTCCAGGGCCTTCACGCCTGCTCCTCAGCCAGTCGCTGACCCCTCTGCCCCTGCTGCAATGGTGCTGTGGTGGGATGGGTGGCAGCTGCCACACCTGGGCTTCCTGACCCGGCTGCAATGCTCTCTCGCAGGCTGCGGGAAGGGATACACAGACACTGTTGTGAAGGGCAGTCTGGAGGAACAGAAATTCCTGGTCTTTTACATCAGGTGGGTGAATTTGTGGCCAGTCTGTGCCCTGACACAGCAGTGCCCTGGGAACAGGGCACGGTCCCCTCCCTTGCGGCCTGCAGAGCTCCTGCAGAGGCTCCACATCACCTCCCATGGCTGAGCACTGCAGGCAGCTGCTGGCCCTTGAACCAGCGCTGATATGGTTTCAGAGAAAACCAAAGCAGAGGAGGGAAGGAGAAGAGGATGAGCTTTGATGAAGACACCAGCTGGGCAGGGAGCTGGGGACACGTCTCCCTCTGCCCCACTGCTCCCAGGCTTGGTGCCCAGCTCCCAGCAGCGCCAGGCAATCTGCCACAAGTCCCCGTGCAGCCCGCGGTGCCAGCCACCCTGCCCCGAGCCCTCCAAAATACAGCTGGCCTCCAGCCAGGGTGCCACGGGGATGCTGCCGTGCTGAGTTATGTACACTAGAGAGCCACATTCTTCCGCTTTCCCTTTCAGGGATGGCTTCGTGACTGCAGCTGCCAGCCTGAACTGTGACCCCATGGTGTCTCTCATCGCAGAAGTTTTATACTCGGGGAAACAAATCTCTAAAGAAGAGGCAGAGTAAGTGACACCCTGACCGAGCCGGTGGGTAGCTCTGTGCTGTGTCCCCATGGCAGCAGAGTCCACTGAGACACAGTCACGAGGAGTTACTGCAAATCCCCAACGTACCTCTTGTTTGCAGGGCCTGCGACATCTGCAACACACCCTCGCTGGCAGAAATGAAGCTCGGTACATGCCCTGCTGCCAGGGGCACGGAGTCAACCAAGTATTAACAGCTTCTCATCCTCCCATCCTGGCACAAAAGAAATAAAATCACGAGCAAAGCTGAACCCAGCACCTGCCTTTTGCATTTGCAGACAGCCCTTGGCTGCTCGCTTGTGTGCTGGGGCAAAGCAAAGCAGTGCTTTCCCCTCTCTTCTAAACTGGGAATCAGTTGGGCAAGAGGTGGATGCTCACACCCTGGAGGCTCAGCTGAGGCTCTGAGCAGGCAGAAGCAGCCACATGTTTACAGATCCACCAACCCCTCCTGCTCTTCTCGCTGGCTGTTGGCAGGGAGGTTTCATTCAGCACGCCGGTCACGCTGACCTTCTACTTCGCAAAAGCACATTTTCCCAGCGAGGGTAGCTGTGACTGAGGCAAGCTGCTCTCCCAGCTGGGAACTAGATGGTCTGTGTGCAGGAACTCACACCAAATACCCTACCCCTAAGGACAGAGGGCTGCTGTCCGACCTTGGGGCGAGCAGCACCTGCCAGCACCTACAGCCATCTGAATATTGCACGTCCCGGTTTGTGTCCCCTCTCCTGCCGTGTCCCTGCACACTGGGTGCTTTGAGGAGGCGGCCAGATGCTGCAAGAAACCCAGCCTCAATGCTTGAGGAAAGAGGTACTAGATTTCTGCAAGGCAACAGCGAGCGAGGCTGTGCTTTCTACAGGAAACACTGCACTTACTCACTAGTCACATGGGGCTTTGCAGGAGGAAGGGTAAACCCGAGAGCTGGCAAGTTCCCGCAGGGACATGCACTTTGTCAGCCTAAAACCCCTCTGGTTTCACATTAAACGCAGGCTAGCCAGAGCCCGAGCCGGTTCGCTCAGCAGGCAAGATACTGCAACGCTGGTTTGGTGTTAAACGTACAAACTTGCACTCTGCCACCTTCTCACTTATCAGTTTGACCTGAAATACAACTTTTTAAAATTTATTTTACATTTCCTGACCCTAGGGGCTTGGTGCTGCTCCTTAGGGTAACTCTCTGCTCTGCAACAGCCACATCTTACCAGGAAGAGAGCTGTTTTTCAGCAGAGGAGGTCAGTCCTTCGTGATGACAGGAGGAAGCAGCAAATCTCAGCGTTACCTGTACACGAGGCACACAAGGGCAGAGATGCTGGTGGCTGGAGTTCACATCTCCCCTCTGTATCAAGCATGGACAGCACTGTGCTGTGATGTGTGGAAGGGGAAGCACAGCCCGGGAGCTGCTCCTCCTTGCCCTCAGGCATGCAACCACCCTCACCTTCCCCCCTTTTTGCCCCCTCTCTGCACCCCAGGACTTTTTCAGCACTGAGCAGGTACCAGCTATTTTGTATGGACTTGCAGCAGGGCAGCTGTGGTGGAAGAGGCCAACTCTGTCTCAAGCTGGAGGTGTTCATCCATGGTCTGTTCTGCTCAGAGAGCAACGCAAGGTGGGGGGTCAGCAGCCCCACTTTCTCCAGGTGACAGTGACCCCAAAGAAACCCATCTTCTTGTAGCCAATGGCAAGCACACACCAGTCAGAGCAGCTTTATATAAGGAAAAACCCCAGGACAACAGATTTCCTTCATTTCTACCACTTCACACCAAGCCACTTTCTGCGCGTCACTGGATGCCAAAATTTGGTAGCAGCCCTGCCTTGGGCAGCTGAAGCCTGGACGGGCAGATTTAGTTGAGACTGCGCAGAATTATTTCAGCAGAGGGCCATTCCTCCCTGCCCATCCTCGGAGCTGAGATGAGCCATGCTCTTCCTGGCAGGCCCTGAGCAGCAGTGCCCAGACACCAAGGCAGCCTGGAAGGTGGTGGTGGAACTGGCTGTCTGATGGCAGAGGCACCAAGGAGCCCTTGCTGGGTCCACACAGAGATATTTCACCCCGCACTGAGCCGCAGGAGAAATATACAGCTCCCTCCTTGTCCACTGCAAGGCAGGGGGGGATCTCCATCTCTGGAGAGCAGCTTCCAAGTCCCCTCCGGGGCTGTCTTCTGCTTCTTCCACCACCAAGGCAGAGCCTGGAGGCCACAAGGAGCCCACCAAGGTTCACCCAGGTCCCTCTCAGTGCTGCCAGCTCCAAATACCTGGAATCCTGGCGCTGCCCCAGGGCTGGCTGCAGACAGGGCTGCCCAGCCTGGGATGGTGATTGCCGGAACAGACGTCTGGGGCCACGCGTGACTCGGTCCTGAGTCACCCGCTCCCGGCAGCCCAGCCCCACCGCGCCCGGCCCTGACCCACACCAGGGCAGCCTGGGTGTGGAGCCGGCCCTCCTCTGGCTCCATCCCACTTCCTGGCCTGTTGCAGGATTAATCCTGCTCCTGAGCTCAGCAGCAGGTCATTCCTGCAAGCTGCACCCAGCCTTGGGTCACCTCTTTTGCTCGGGACAAACCAAGGAGACCTGAACAACCAAGCCTCCAGCTGTGGGCCCCAATGCTCCAGTGCTACACACCCCCCCAGCACCCCGAGGGTTCACAGCCCCCACCACCCTCCCACCAGGGAGGTCCGGGCATCCCACAGGCAACAAACTTCCTAAAAATGAACTGTTGAGCAAAAGAGAAAGTTTAATGCCTTTTGCAGTCTTCTCTAGTCATCTCTCAGCTCAGTGGCACCCCAACGGTGGCGGGGACTCCACTCGACAGCCCCGCTGGCAGGGCTGCCGGGCAATCCCCCACCAAGGCTCTGTCTGGAGGCTGCAAGACTTCTTCATCCCGGTCAGGCTCATCCTCAGCCCTCAGATTTGCAGACTGGCTCATCCTGGTTGCTCGAGGCACAGGTCCAGCTGACATCCAAGGTCTCGGTGATGAGAAGAGAGTGGCTACATTCAACAGTTCTTCAACTGGCAGCTTTAGCTACTAGAAAAGGACATAAAGCTTGCCACTGAAGAACTGGTGCTGGTTAGCCAGGAGCGGGGCGGCGGGGCAGCGCCTGGGAAGGGAACGCACACGTCAGAGCCAGGATCAAACCGCGCTGAGCTGAGATGTCACCCACAGCAGCCACCTGAGGCGGCAGAGCTGCTCCTCTCCCCCACCCCAGCACCAAAGCCCTGATCCACCCCAGGAAGCTCCTCAGGGCTGAGATCCCACAGGATCACCCCCTTGTCACTGTGGATCCAGAAGCAACTCTGACCTCGACTATTCCCATCCCTCCCCTCTCCCAAAGCAGGTGGTGCATCGGCTCCGGCACCTGCAGCCGGCCCTGAAACGCGACAGGCAGAGAAATCGGGGCTGTTTCTGCCAGAAAATAAGAGATAAGGCAACCTGCTCCAGCTGGGACCAGTGGCCATGGCAGGGAGGCTACCGCAGGTCGGGGTTATGGCATTCCCCAGCTGCTCACCTCGGGCATCCGCGCTGGCCGGGTCCCACCTGGCCGGGAGCCAGCCACCGCCTGCCGGGGAAGACACTTTGTCAGGCGGCTGCTGCCAAACCTCCACCAGAGGAATTTTGGGGAGCGCAGCCTTTTTCTGTGTCGTTTTGTCAGAGGACAAGGACACCAAGTCCGAGGCCCAGGGTGGAACCCTATTGTTTCCCCCTCCACGCCAGAAAAAAACCAAAAAGCCACAACCCTTCCCCCACCACCCGGTGTTTTGGCTGCGGGGATTGAGTTGGGGGAAACCCCCCAAGCGTCCGGCCCTGCTGGGGGTGGCACAGAAGGCCCCAGTGTAGGGACAGACAGCCCCAGGAAGCCCCCCCGGCCGGTCACCACAGTGGCTTCCCTGCAGCATCCTCCCACCAGCGTCACCCCAAAGGCACTCGGGAGCCCGGCTGGCCCCAGGCCTTCGCAGGCGGCGGGGGAAGGCCGGAGTCCCGGTGGGTGTCGCGGCGGGGGGCTGCGGGGAGG